GCGTTACATCGGACAAAGTTGAGGCATAAAAATGAACATCCTTGCTATTGGTAATGAATACTTGGATGCAGTATTGTATGACCAAAACCGGTGGAAAGGAAAGGTTAATTTTGACACTTATTTTACGATTACATAATCGAAAAATGTCGCGGATAACTTTCAGCAACTCATTCGGCCCATTAAAGGGGAACAACATAAAGCTATCAATTCAATGCTATTTTTCAGCAGTTAGTTTCCAGCTTTAAACAGAGCTAACGTTAATGATAAGTTTAAATTTTTATTTGAGGCACGGATATAATACTTGAAAATATAGGTTACAACGACTTCGGAGAAAGGAATCTGTTACTTCATGATTTCGGGGGTCGTGCCAAAACGTTCCCTGATTGCCAACTTTTCAGGGGCTAGTAAAAATTGTCCTGCCATGGCGGCAAATTGCTTCCACGTAGGATAGAGGGTTTTCAGCATTTATATTTTGTTCAGCCGAATCATTATTAAGTGGACTCGATCACAAGCATTTGGTGAAAAAAAGATCTGCATGATAATTCCACAGATTTAGTCGTTTTGCTTTCAGACTGACAGATTTTTGACGTATTAATCTTACGGCTACGACAAAAATGTCAAAATATAATGGCAGATCTATGCTCTTTCTTTGAAGCTTTTATTTTTTGCTTCACAATCTAGTAGAAAATTTTTTTTCCATGCTGGCAAAATGTTTCCATGTAGTATAGAGGGTTTCTCGAAGATGTAGTTTTGTTCAGCCGAATCATTAAGTGTAAGAGATTACAAGCATTTGGCGAAGAAGAGATACGTATGATAATTTAACGGATTTAATCGTTTTTCTTTCAGACTGTCAGATTTATGACAGTTCAGCCGGTTGATCTTGAATTTTGTGTCATTATTTTAAAAGGCTATTTTGATGACGTATTACAGGGGTAATCTCACTGCTACGACAAAAAAAAGCGAAATTTAATGGTAGATCTGTGCTCTTTCTTTCAAGCACTATTTATTTTTTACTTCATTTTCTATCCGTCATTGGCAATTTGAATGTAAAGGGTTACAATTTCTTCAGGCGCAAGGCGCCGGAAGAGGCCGTTGTGCCAGATGCGTCTTAAAAAGAGAGGAAATGCTGTCCAAACCTTTCTAACTTTTTTTTACTGGTCAGTTACTTTTACAAGAACCAAACGAGAACAAAACGCCACTCACACCAGAGAACAACAAAAGTTAAATCTACCAAAATTCTGTCTTTTTATATTTGCTTGGAGGACAAGCAGCCTCGCTAGGTCGCTAATCTGGAGGGACAGTTACATTTGGAAGTAAAAAACGTTTAACTCCTCGGACAAAAATTAAAAAGTAACGCAAATTTATTTTTAGGTACGCAACGTTGGGTACCTGCTTCCTAAGTTGCTGATGTGTACAAATTACCAGTTTCTTTATGAACAGAAAAAACAAATGAATGTATCTTGGTGGTGTACCATTTACCTTTTATTTACCATTTTATCACCTCTATTTCCATGATTTTTTTCCCCGATGACAATTAATGATATCATGCAATGGTGTTTATGCTGTGGTTCACTTTTGCTTGGAAAAATTTATTTCCGGTGGATTTTATTAAATAATACTATCACCATGCATGAAAATAGAAATAATAATAATGATAATAATAATAATAATAACTCATAAAGATAATAAAAATGAAAATAATGGTAAAGAATGACATTTATTCTTAGAAATTTGAAGGGTCTTACGAAGAAATTCGTGATTTCTTGGTCTCTTCAAGACTGCCATTTTTACTCCTTGTGTTTTTTTTTTACTTAATTTTTACCTGTTTTCTAAATGATAAGACGCGGGTAAAAAGCAAATCAAGAGCGACAGAATTTAATATAAGTTCCTAAAATAGGATCACCAACTTGTTTTGTTGGGGAAAGTAAACGCCAATCAATGCCCTTCCATCCCTGTTCTTGAGCCTCTTTTACATAAGCTGGCAGGTGAACTTTGATAAGCGCGATCGTAGTACATTTTGCTACTTTCTTGCTTTAGCGATTAGAGTATAAACAGTCGAATTTTGAAAATCTCTTGAATAAATTTGTATTTTCCACTACCTATAATTACACTTTCAGCTGCCCTCTTAAGAGTTTTTTTTTTGCCATGGAGAATTTCCAAACAACTGCGAAGGAACACATTGTATATGTAATTTCAGCAGTCTTGTCCTAATATTTGAGTTAGTCATATTTGATGTATGTAATATCGCTCCACATCTTGATCTATGCAAACAGGCCTGTTTAAGGTTTCGTACTTTTGAATAACTTTTTTATGCTTAGAGGGGTTAGGCCTCATTGGACTCTAGATGACGATTCGGCCAACGTACATAAGAATACCCTTGTCGCAAGCTGACAGCTTAAAACAAGTTCAACTGGCTCCTTTTTGAATATAAATTGACTTTTAAGTCGAGGTAAAATTAATTTCCGCTTTCCTAAATTTGTCAGTCTAAATGAATTCTGTGGGTAAAAGTTAAAGTCACGGCAGGTTTAATAGTCAATACTTTTAACTGTTTTAACGCCTTCATAGGTGCTAAAGTCAGTTTTCAAGGGTTTACTGGTTGAAGTTAAAATATATTGTTATTAAAGGTTAAGACGATATAGCTTAAAACTCGTATCATCGCAAATAACGGATTGGAGATAGATACATGTATGTGGAGATGAGGGGATACGTTTTCCTTTGATAATTCGCGTTTTAGATTTGAAATAAATTAGCCAAGCAAACGAAACAAGTAAATTCGAAAATTGAAATTACCTCTCTTGGAAAATTGCTCTTACACATGCAAAACAAGTTCGCTTTGTAAATAATGGGTGACGTTTGAGTGGAAAAGTAAACACTGATTTCAAGTCTGTAGATTTTGTTCGTGTCTGCTGTACGTCTAATGTACATCTGCCTTAATAAATTACAGGATGCCCGAGAGGACATATTGTGTGAGAGACGACTCTCCTTTTCTTCGGTTTATCGAGAATCCAATCAAGTAAGTTTCGAGGAAATTCATCATGATGTAAAAATATGTACTAATTAGAGCTTCCTTGGTAGGTTTTATTTTCAGGTAAAGACGTAGATAGTAATTTGATCTCAGAGCCCTCTATGCGTACCTGTGGAAGTCGTTTTCGTCGCGTGTTTTCTATCAAATCGTCTGTTTTTCAACGAAATCGTCGCAATATCGATATCTTTTGCTAGGTGCAGCCTCTAGCGAGCTCGAAGACCATGAATTAAATATAACGAAAGCGACAGGTTTAATAAGCAAAGCAAAAACTCGGAACGTGCAGCACACTTTTCTGCAGATCCCTTTGCCCTCATGACGGGGCTAACTATGTGAAACTTGATCGGAATGGCAATGCGATCGTCGCTTTAATCTTTAAGATCGTCGTTTCATCAAAAACGTTTGTGGCCACTTCGATTTCGTCAGAAATACCCATAGAGAGGCTCAGCTTACATGTTTTTTTCTGAGATATGGAGTTTTCAAGGTAAAAGCACAACCTTATCTCTCCATTCAGGTGTGCGTAGCAATATTCCGGCATCGTTGTCTTAACAGAAAGATACATCGGTGCCGATTTATGATATACAGAGGAAAATAAGAAACAAAGTAAGAAACTCTTATTGAAGAGAGAAAAAGCTTAAATTAAGTTAACTATGCTATTTTAGGAACTGTAGGAAATGTGACGTTACAGTCAACAAGAAGTAATTGTATTTCTGCTTTCCTTAACAGTCCACGTTCGATATATATTGAAATTCTAACATAACTAAAAAATTTGCAACATTTTTACCGCTCCATTGTTTCGCAATTCCCAAAAGAGACTTGAAGACAAAGAAAATCAAACCAAATATTGAAAAACGACCAGAAAGCCTCGAGGTCATGTTTGAATTTTAATATATCGACTGTGGGCTATTTGGCACCGTATATATGTTGTTGTTAATTTTTTATCTCAGGTAATTTTATGTTTCTTTTGTTACAACTTCATTAGCATACATTACGATACCCCAAAACAATAGAAAAACAAAAATTACCTCAGCCAAAAAATTAACTATAACATATAGAGGATATTACATGGCCGCGCGAGTGTTGAAAAATATTTCATGAGTGAGCGCAGCGATCAAGTGAAATATTTTTTCAACACTCTAAACAATAAACACCAATGAACTACCAAACCATTTCACTTTAATAGTTTTTTGGTGTGAAAGGCGCGATTTATTATGTAGCCATAGCAACGGTGATATTTTCACACGTGAAGATAACATGTTATTTTCACATGTAAAGATATCAAGTTTTTGCGCGAAAGCTCACCTAATATTTCATTGGTGTTTATATAATAAATACATATACATGTATATTAAAGTCAACTGGCAGGTTTCTAACATCAGGAAGCCAAGGACGCGTGAAATTTGATAAAACTATTTCAATACAAAATTTTCCCTTGCAAGGGCGCATTCTAGAGCATACTGAGAATTGAAATTCCGTAAGGTACGGTAAAACGGGCCACATGAAGCGTGCAACTTCTTCTGCAACATTGCTGCAAAACGAGTTGAACGGTGGTGTTGCGCGGTTTACCACCCACGAAAGAAACCTTGATACCTTATTTGTTGGAAGACAGGTTCGAACGTGGTTGGTAAAACGCCCAACATCGTTATTCAATTCGTTTTGAAGCAATGTTGAAAAACAAGTTGTACGTTTTTTGTTGCCCGTTTTACTTTAGCTTTAACTTCGCTGAATTAAAAGTTACAAAAGATTTGGCTGTCCATATATAGTTTTTAGTCAAGCAAATTGTTTATACAAGGTAGCTTTACTCATTATAATAATTATCTTGTACAATAATATATTTATATAGTTATGAAAAGATTCTAGTTGATGGAAGTCAATTCAAAACGGTTTTTACAGGGCAAGCTCCAGTTGTTCAAAAGCTAGATATAGCTTTATTCAAGGGATGTAGTACTGAAAAACCGGTAATGGGTTCATGATAACCGTCACGAATATAGGGACATTCCACAACCACTTTGCCCACTACGAGAAAGTTGATGTTTGGTGTAGTTGGTACAGTTAGAGTACTTGGTGTAGTTCCCGTAGCTGGAGTAATTAGTGTAGTTGGTGTAGTGTATGTACTTGGTGTAGTTAGTGTAGTTGGTGTAGTATATGTAGTTGGTGTAGTTGCTGTAGTTGCTGTAGTATGTGTAGTTCGTGTAGTTAGTGTATTTAGTGTAGTTGATGTAGTATATGTAGTATGTGTAGTCGGTGTAGTATGTGTAGTTTGTGTAGCTGGTGTAGTTGCTGTAGTTGGTGTAGTATGTGTAGTTGGTGTAGTTAGTGTAGTTGCTGTAGTATATGTAGTTGGTGTAGTTAGTGTAGTTGGTGTAGCATAATTATGTAGTTGGTGCAGTTAGTGTAGTTGGTGGTATAGTTACTGTAGTTGGTGTAGTATATGTAGTTGGTGTAGTTGCTGTAGTTGGTGTAGTATGTGTAGTTGGTGTAGTTGGTGTAGTTGGTGTAGTATATGTAGTTGGTGTAGTTGGTGTAGTTGGTGTAGTATATGTAGTTAGTGTAGTTGGTGTAGTTGGTGTAGTATGTGTAGTTGGTGTAGTTAGTGTAGTTGGTGTAGTTAGTGTAGTTGGTGTAGTTAGTGTAGTCGGTGTAGTATGTGTAGTTCGTGTAGTTTGTGTAGTTGGTGTAGTATGTGTAGTTGGTGTAGTTTGTGTAGTTAGTGTAGTTGGTGTAGTTACTGTAGTTGATGTACTTGGTGTAGTATGTGTAGTTAGTGTAGTTAGTGTAGTTGGTGTAGTATATGTAGTTGGTGTAGTTAGTGTAATTGGTGTAGTTTGTGTAGTTGGTGTAGTATATGTAGTTGGTGTAGTTGGTGTAGTATGTGTAGTTGGTGTAGTTAATGTAGTTAGTGTAGTTGGTGTAATAGATGTAGTTGGTGTAGTTAGTGTACTTGGTGTAGTTAGTGTAGTTGAGGTAGTTGGTGTAGTATGTGTAGTTGGTGTAGTTAATGTAGTTAGTGTAGTTGGTGTAATAGATGTAGTTGGTGTAGTTAGTGTACTTGGTGTAGTTAGTGTAGTTGAGGTAGTTGGTGTAGTTACTGTAGTTGGTGTAGTATATGTAGTTGGTGCAGTATGTGTAGTTGGTGTAGTATATGTAGTTGGTGTAGTATATGTAGTTGGTAGAGTTAGTGTAGTCAGTGTAGTATGTATAGTTGGTGTAGTTGCTGTAGTTGGTGTAGTATGTGTAGTTAGTGTTGTTTGTGTAGTTGGTGTAGTAAGTGTAGTTAGTGTAGTTGGTATAGTATATATAGCTGGTGTAGTTACTGTAGTTGGTATAGTTAGTGTAGTTGCTGTAGTATGTGTAGTTGGGGTAGTTTGTGTAGTTGGTGTAGTTAGTGTAGTTGGCGTAGTTACTGTAGTTGGCGTAGTATATATAGTTGTTGTAGTTGCTTTAGTTGGTGTAGTATATGTAGTTGGTGTAGTGTGTGTAGTTGGTGTAGTTAGTGTAGTTGCTGTAGTTGGTGTAGTATGTGTAGTTGGTGTAGTTTGTGTAGTTGGTGTAGTTGGTGTAGTTAGTGTAGTTGGTGTAGTTAGTGTGCTTGCTGTAGTTGGTGTAGTGGCCGTAGTTCCTGTAGTTGGTTTAGTATGTGTAGCTGGTGTAGTTAGCATAGTTGCTGTAGTTCGTGTAGTTAGTGTAGTTGGTGTAGTTAGTGTAGTTGGTGTAGTTGGTGTAGTTAATGTAGTTAGTGTAGTTGGTGTAATAGATGTAGTTGGTGTAGTTAGTGTACTTGGTGTAGTTAGTGTAGTTGAGGTAGTTGGTGTAGTATGTGTAGTTGGTGTAGTTAATGTAGTTAGTGTAGTTGGTGTAATAGATGTAGTTGGTGTAGTTAGTGTACTTGGTGTAGTTAGTGTAGTTGAGGTAGTTGGTGTAGTATATGTAGTTGGTGTAGTATGTGTAGTTGGTGTAGTATATGTAGTTGGTGTAGTATATGTAGTTGGTAGAGTTAGTGTAGTCAGTGTAGTTGGTGTAGTTTCTGTAGTTGGTGTAGTATGTGTAGTTAGTGTAGTTTGTGTAGTTGGTGTAGTAAGTGTAGTTAGTGTAGTTGGTATAGTATATGTAGTTGGTGTAGTTACTGTAGTTGGTATAGTTAGTGTAGTTGCTGTAGTATGTGTAGTTGGGGTAGTTTGTGTAGTTGGTGTAGTTAGTGTAGTTGGCGTAGTTACTGTAGTTAGCGTAGTATATATAGTTGTTGTAGTTGCTTTAGTTGGTGTAGTATATGTAGTTGGTGTAGTATGTGTAGTTGGTGTAGTTAGTGTAGTTGGTGTAGTATGTGTAGTTGGTGTAGTTTGTGTAGTTGGTGTAGTTGGTGTAGTTAGTGTAGTTGGTGTAGTTAGTGTGCTTGCTGTAGTTGGTGTAGTGGCCGTAGTTCCTGTAGTTGGTTTAGTATGTGTAGCTGGTGTAGTTAGCATAGTTGCTGTAGTTCGTGTAGTTAGTGTAGTTGGTGTAGTTAGTGTAGTTGGTGTAGTTGGTGTAGTTAGTGTGGTTGCTGTAGTTAGTGTAGTATTTGTAGTTAGTGTAGTTAGTCTAGTTGGTGTAGTTAGTGTGGTTGCTGTGGTTGGTGTAGTAGCCGTAGTAGGTGTAGTTGCTGTAGTTGGTGTAGTTAGTGTAGTTGGTGTAGTTAGTGTGGTTGCTGTAGTTGGTGTAGTAGCCGTAGTTGCTGTAGTATGTGTAGCTGGTGTGGTTGGTGTAGTTGGTGTAGTAGCCGTAGTAGGTGTAGTTGCTGTAGTTGGTGTAGTATGTGTAGCTGGTGTAGTTGGTATAGTTGATGTAGCTGGTGTAGTTGGTATAGTTGATGTAGCTGGTGTAGTTGGTATAACGGTGTGTAAATGAGATAAGAGCCTGGATGCTGTGTGACAAACTGAAGATCAATGATGGCAAAACCGAGTTTGTAATAATAGGCACCCGTCAGCAACTATCGAAGGTTCATGTTGACTCGCTTGCAGTAGGGGATGCTCAAGTGTCGCCTGTTCAGTCGGTCAAGAACTTAGGGACATGGATAGATAGTAACATGAGTCTTCAAGTTCATGTCAATAACACGTGTAAAGCAGCCTATTACTACATTACAAATGTAAGACGAATAAGAAAGTATTTAAGTAACCAAGCAACCCAGACAATTGTTCATGCCCTAATAATTGGGCACATTGACTATTGTAATAGTATTCTGTATGGGTTACCAGCTAAACAAATAGCAAAGTTACAACGGCTCCAGAATTCCGCAGCAAGACTTATTTTTAAGATTCCAAGGTTTTATCACATCTCACCAATTCTGTGTACGCTTCATTGGCTTCCAGTAGAATTTAGGATTCATTTTAAGATTATTATAATTACTTTTAAAGCGATCCATGGACAAGCTCCGGTATATCTACAAGAACTCATTAGCAAAAGGGAGGAAGAGAGATACAATTTAAGATCGTGTGCAATGGGAATCATGCTTCAAACGCCAGGAACTTTAACTAAAAAGACATTGGGTCACCGTGCTTTTTTAGCTGCGGCACCTAAACTGTGGAATGGGTTACCATCACAAATACGAAATGAGCCCAATTTTAATAGGTTTAAAGGTTTACTTAAGACCCATTTTTTTAGATTAGCTTTTTATTAGGATTTTTTTTTTAGGATTATGTATATATTATATTTTTATAGATCCATTGTTTTAATTTTTTATATAATATTTTTAGTTATTTTGGATAACTTATTAATGTTGATAATTTACTTTCATGTAATGCGCATTTGATCATAGTTACATGTATTTTGCGCAATGTAAATATTAAATTATTTTTATTATTTAGTTAGTGTAGTAGGTGTAGTTACTGTAGTTGGTGTAGGTAGTGTAGTTTGTGTATTTGCTGTAATTGGTGGAGTTAGCGTAGTTTCCGTAGTTGATGTAGTATGTGTAGTTAGTGTGGTGCTGTAGTTGGTGTAGTTAGTGTAGTTGCTGTAGTTGATGTAGTTAGTGCAGTTGGTGTAGTTAGTGTAGTTGCTGTAGTTGGTGTAGTAGCCGTAGTTTCTCTAGTTGCTTTAGTATGTGTAGCTGGTGTAGTTAGCGTAGTTGCTGTAGTTCGTGTAGTTAAAACTGCAGGTTAAAATGTTAGTAAATTAAGAGTACATAGCAGTTGAATTGCGCATTGACCTGTATTTATTGTTCTTGTTTGACCAATTCCGTTTGGAGGTTCTCAATTTTCTTTTCTTTTATTCGGGTGTACTGTATATTCATATAGAATATTGTATTCTTATCCGGTGGATAAGTTTAACGCCCTTTTGAACAACTGGGGCTTGTACCGTTGCAATTTGTAATTATCATCGCACTTTGTAATCTTGCTCAATATTGTAATAAACCGTGTCGCCCTCTATGTTTTCTTTTAAAATATCTTGTCAAAAACACAATCAAAGGTGGTGACGTCATCAGGCACGTAACTTACAAAAATTGCTCACATCTCCACTCATTTAAAGAATAAAACTGTCAAATTTGCTTGTCATAGACATTTATTGAAAATATAGTTTGTTGGTTTTTCTAAGTTGATCATGCTTATGTTTCTTAAAGTACAGTGAAACCTGTATTAAGCGGACACCCTCGGGGAATACTGTAGTGTCCGCTTAATACAGGGTGTCCGCCTAATACAGGTTTCGATAGATAACGTCATATGAGGCGTCAAATGCCATTCAAATGAACAGTGGAAATGTTTAGAATACTCCCAGAGACTATGACGATATACGTTTGCATTAATTTCTTTATTAAAGGGGACTAATTGATGATAGTACCATAAACATAGATTGCAACGCAAATTTGAAGAACTCAAATGAGTGAAACAAGCTCTATACAAACAAAACGAAATTGAAAACAACACTGTACTGTGAAACTAATCAAATAAGTTCGTCAAATCACGTTTTTTCACGTAAAAATAAAAATCTGTGGGTGTTAATCTTTCGCATTTCCCGTGTCCGACGTGTTGGGTGGTGGAATTTAATTACAAGTGTCCGTTTAATACAGGTTGGTAACAATAGAAATGACCATTTCAGGTACTTTTTAGGTGTGTTTTTAGGTTCGCGTCCGCTTAATAGAGGTGTCCGCTTAATAAAGGTTTCATTTAAAGTAAATAAGGGAAATAAATTTGGGGACTTCGGCTACTGTCCGCTTAATAGAGGGTGTCCACTTAACACAGGTTTCACTGTATGCTAATACCTCGATGCCGCTCCTTCGTTAGATTTCTGTTAGTCTCTATCTAAAAACGGCAACAAACAACGCACATCAAAACGATAATTAAGTGTGTAGTTTGACTATGAAAACAGAAAAGAAACTAAAAACAAGCCGGACATGTCACAGTAAGTTTCATGTCTTGACGGAGATCAGTCATACAAACGCATCTCACAGCGACAGACTCTAATAACTTAAGTTCATTACAAAGTGCTATGCAAGTGTTAGAAATTGCGACAGTACTGCCTGATAAGGAGCAATGACGTACCAGCTAATAGGTGCTTGTTTTTTTTTTATCTGTCTCTGACAGCCGATTTAGTATTTTGACAGAATACGAAGTGGAGATACATCAAAAGTAGAAGAGGCTCTACGACAGGCTCTGATCTGTAAGGAAACGAAGCTTGAATTAAATACTACAATTAAAATTGTAATTGTACGGAGAGAAATCAATTCTGGTGCTATGACAAGTTCGTGCCTTGGTGAAGACGAAGCAATACACATCTGCATGATTGCCTTGGTTATGACGGGATCAATTTTGGGCAACAGCATAATTTGTTTGTTGCTTATCCGGTTTAAGACTTTGCGAACAGTGCCCAATATTCTGGTGGTGAACTTATCAGTTGTTGACATCCTGAACGCTGCAATTAATATGCCACTTATGATCTTGTGGTACATCTGTAAAGTTCCCTATCTCAAGGGACGTAGCATTTCCTGGTTCGTTGTAACAGTGTACGTAATGTTCATGTACCTCACCGTTTTCAACCTCACCGTCCTCGCAATAGATCGTTTTGGAGCCATTGTGCTCGGCTTTCGCTACCATTCTTGGAAGACCGTCAACAAAGCGAAAGTAGCAGTTGTGTTTGTGTGGCTTTCAGCAGCTGCCTATACCTATGGTATGTTCACATTGGGACTTGACATCGATTTAGGTGACGCTCCAGTGCTGGTGTACAGGATCCATTATTTAAAGAAATTTGGAAGACATTTCATAATTCCCGGTTATATGGTACCCTTCACAGTCATGCTTATCGTAGGAGCAGCTATCTGGTTAACCGTGCATGCGCACAACCGACGTATCACACCGATTCGTTCAACGGTGAAACAAATTAAAAGTGATGTGAAGACCGCCAAGACCATCGGCTTAACTTGTGCTGCATTTTTCTTAATGGGCGTTTTCCCGATGCTACTACATAATATTGCCCGAATACACGGCACTTGGCCTCATTTTTTAGCGTTTTTTCTCATCCACTTAAACAGCATGGCAAATCCTGTTATTTACTCATTTAAGGCAAGAAGGTAAGATTTTTTGCAATAAAATTATGTCTTAGAATTAAACAGCTAACAGTCTCATCGAGCCTAGCATCCACCCAGATCCGCAGATCCTTTATGACGAAATCGCTTTTAATACAGTTAAATGAAAAGAGAAAGACATATATTAATCACGTGATGATACCGACAACAACAACAACAATTTTTTTTGTACTCTCTCTTGCCTAAAAGTAAACTACAGCAATGAAAATATTGAAATCAAAATTAGAGTACTGGCTGCTTGGAATAACCATAGGGGCTAGCGAAGCAAGGCATGCAGCAGCCAGTTGACTGCAAAAATAGAAAAAAAACTTACCACGCCTTTCCCTGCATGCATTTTTAACAGCAACCTATACCAGCAGCTGCTGTAAATCAATCCTTGTCCTTCTAACCTCAGCCTTTTTTAAAAAATTCTTCAGGATTCACTTCTCTTTCGAGGGTTTTGCAGGACATGTTATCTGATTCCGAAGTTGGTTTCTCAGCGCTTGTACCCCAATCTTCCCGTAGCGAGTTAATACACACAGATCACAGATAATACTGACTTGGTTAAAACAGTCCTAAAGAACGAGAATTGTTTTTTTTTTGGCCTAAGGTTTATAGTACCCAAAGAACGTGGAGCTATGAGTATTCTGAACTCTCACCGTCGTCTTGCTTAATCTGTTCGGTTCGGTTCACGGACACGGGTTTATGGCCGTGTCCTTTGTATAGTGGCAAAAACCGCAATTTATTTTTTATTGTTAAAACCCTGTTAATCCCACTTTTCCGGTTGACTTCATTTGAAGAGTGTGATCGGACAAACCCTTACTCCTCTCTCTCTCTCCTCCAGAAAAAGGTAACTGTTACGTTTACTGAGATACTTTTACTCCCGAAATCCTCCAATAAGCCCCCCCGGGGCTTATTTATTTCAAGCCCCTTTTAGGGGAGAGGGGGGCTTAGTAGAGAGGGGTGGCTTATTAAGTTTCTTCCCCTGAAGGGGAGAGGGGCTAATTAGAGGGAGGGGGCTTCTTTGAGAGGGGGGGAGCTTAATAGAGGATTTACGGTATAAGTAGTTACTCTGCAGCAATACACAAGGCGTGCTTATCCACTCCCGGTTAAAGTTGTTTGTTTGTTCATGCTGAAAAATCCTGATACCTATATCTATTATTTTCCCTTCATTTTAAAGGTTTCGCAGGGCGTTCTTATTGTTCTTGAAGGAGCCATGTGGCAAGTCGCAGTCTTACTTAAGCTCCAAAGACCTTACAGATGTGCAATACAAAAAGACGAATTTTCCATCAAGGATCGACATATCTATCGTGCAGAACATCAATACATGCTTATCCCAATCCAAGTTCCCGTCTTCGTAACTCTTGTCTATCCGGGAAGGTCCAGTCTAGCGTTGTTTATTCTAGCAGTCTTATATTCTTCAAATATATGTAGCATTAGTTTAATACGAGTAGCGTAGAAACCGTTTATATTCCTGTAACTTTTTGTGTTGTTATGGATCTTCTTGTTATTTTACATTTAACTTTTATATGTTACTTAAATTATGTTAGTACTGAAATCTTAATCCCGAAGCTTAAACAAAGTGTTCACACGCGCATTAAAAAGGAGTCATGTTTGAACTAATCAGCTGTTACAAGAGAGCTATATGGCAATATTCATACACCAGAGTTGTACCCGTCTAACCTGAGGGGAAAGAAAGCAAGTCTCATATTAGAAAATATACTATGCCAATAACTGTAACAAACCAAGGATTGGGAGGCTTAAGTAAGTATTATATAGATTTCCACTTGATCGTTGCATACAAAGTTAAAAACAACGTTGGACAGTATATAGTCGCCCACACTGTTCGTATCTCGTTGATTGGTCCGGGTGATATGTATTCTGCAAATGTGTTAGTCTAAATCTCAAAGAATGATTCAGCAACGACAGGAAGAATATGAACAGTAAAATATCCAAGGTCTTCAAGGCCTACTCTGGGACCTTAAGTCGCCGTAATTTTAGGCGACTTGAGGAAAAATTTGGTCAAAATGTTGTTCGACTTAAGGCGATTTAAGGCGAATTTAGGCGACTTAAGGAGGTATAAAGTGACATTTAGGTAAATTACATATTAGTGTATATCTGTCTGGATTTGCAAAATGGCACCTCCAGGAATTGTTAGCAACAGTCTCATTTGAGGCTTGTTCACTACTTGACCATTTATTTTTTTTAATGACATTTACAGTATAACATCTCTTAACAAGCTGCAGTAGATCAAAAAACATGTGTTTAATATGCTGTTTACATGTTCCCCACCCCCCACCTCTCCCTACCTATCATTTCCCATAATTCTCTTCTTGTCATAAAAGGTACCTTTTATCAAATCCAAACAGATATATATACCTGGAGTTATGAAAACCGGGTTAGCAAACATTTTGTTATTTTTCTCAACATCCCCTGTCTAATAGCTTGTTTACCGTGTTGTTTGCTTATGTCGTTTTTTTTGCTTGTTTTGTGGTGAGGGATTTGTGTAGACGTGGGTGTAGACAGAATTACTATCTTACTCCCCTATTTCTTTTCCTTACCCACAATTCTTTGTTTAACGCAAGTGACAGTTATTTGAAATCAGTGCGCGCCTAAAGCTGGTTTCGTTGCCAATTAGCAGTTTACTTTTAGATATTGGTCACCTTGAGAAAAGTTTCCCGAAGAGCATCATGTAAAGCTCTGAGATGGGACAAAGTTATTACGATTCGCAGAGTCTGCATCGTTCAATATCGTATTATATTCTAGTTTCATCTGGCTAAACGGATCAATCACCCTGATCCGGGCTGAGACAGACAGGTACGATATTGTTCGCTTTTCTAAGGTGATCTCTACGTCTTTGGCCTCGGGAGCAGGCTCTTAGGAGTCAAATGAATTAGGTGAGAGCAAAATTGCAGGTGAACTTTGACCAGGGCCAAGGGGATCCGCCGACCGTGTGACTCGATCTACATCCGGGAACTTGAATAAGACGAGTGTAAGAGAAAAGTCCAGCGGTGTTTATCTGGCAATAGGCTGAGATTCTCCGAGTTATTCGATGATATTTCGCTTATGTTAAACGTGGGAAGATTATGCGTGGTTGTGGATAGTCTTATCAGTGCCGCGAAAGTGTGTGATTGTGTGATTTCCGCATGGTGTTGACAGGTATGTGATTGCGTGGTTGAACTGCGGTTTGGCCAAAATATTCTGTGCCAGCCATTAATATTGTTTCGTCGGTGTTTAGCTTAGCTGATTGTACCTTGGAAAAGCGACTCTCGCATTGAGGTGAGTTGAACACGTTTCCTCTTGTAATCAATGACAAAATGAAAGACTTTTCCTTCCCCGTTGTCAGTTACGAACGTGGCCTCTCCTTCCATGACTTCTGGTAATTCGGGGCCAGAATTAAACAATCCTGCTGCATAAACGGATGAAATGACAACGGCTGCCAGAGCTATACCGATCAGAAGTGCAGCACATCTTACAGCTGGCCTCGATATAGGCAGCTCTTCCGCTTGAATGAAACTGCTATAATTCAACAGAGGAAATAAATGAAGTTTGTCCCCCTGATCTCTATTGAAGAAGGTTTTCGAAAGATGACTTATATAGACGTGTTTAAATGCTAAATGTTCAAAGGAGGCTAAGTAAATGCTTAAAATTCCAAATGCATGATACTGGTAATGAAATATTTTAGATACTTTTAAGGCGTTTTCAGCAAATCAAATTAATGACGAGGAGAAATGGAGAGATGCATTTTAGAGAAATTACCTTGATCTGAGTTTTCCCTATCCACTTCTTCTGAATTGTATTTTTCATCCCTTGCAATATTTGAGGCAGTGATTGAGAAAGTTCATATAGACGCCCAATATAATGTTTAGATCTATAAAAATAAAGAAAAATGATGCGTTAAACATCTATAAGTAGCCTGAGGTAAATACTTAAAGCCTATTAAAACAACGGCAAAAGTAATACTTTTTGTAATCCTGATAAGAAGTGTTCGAATAATACTTTTTTTGGAATAAATATTTCACCATTACAGTGGTCCTTTCTAAGTGTCTGAGTGCCTTTTACCCGAATTAGTGGGCCACAATACATGAGGGGCGTGCTAGGGTAAATAATTGTGTTACTATTAAAGTATATGTTTTTTTCCCTACACCGGCAATTATGAAGCTGTGAAAGGTTTGAGTCCAGGAGTCATTTCATAAGTAGGTTGAGTATGATCGTCCGGGTAAACGTAGTCCTGAATAGGACTGTTTTTGTTGACAGTGACTGCCAACAACAACAGTCCTATCCAGGACTACGTGGACGTTCACCCGGACGATCATACTCAACCTTCTTACAATTATGAAACTTAATCCTTTCTACAGAAAACTGTTAGGCAAGACCTAAGAACTGCTAGGTTTGGTTTGACTAAATTGTAAGTGTTGAGGCCAACTTAATTTACTTTACATCTCACTGAAGTCTGAAAGTCGCAACGATTTACTTTAAAACCATCCAGTTACAACAGACTTAGCCAACTTGCAGTTTCTCGTAAGTCAAGCTTATAATCTTAATAACCGCGTGAATGTTAACTCAAGATATTTCGAAGTACAGAGTAATCTTACAACCTAATTTGTATATGAAGCTTGACTACTCATAGAATATTGTAAAGAAATCTCCAGTACACAAAGCCCCGGCAGAAAACCATGCTAAGCTAGTCGATATGACATTATTAACTCACATTAGCTAATGTAATTTTACCCCAAATAGATGTTTTGCACATTTCTAGAACCTGTTATGCTAAGCGTGCAGTTTGGCTGAACGATGTACAGTTAGGTAGGGAGGCAAGAGGCGCTGAAATCTTTCTTGCTTGTTTAGAGTAGTGAAAGACCTGTGTGCGAAGCTGTCGCGGGGGTGACAAGATTTTGCTGTTAAATGATTGGAATGACGACTGCTCTGAGCATTGTTCGCTTACCCCCATTCGTCTAATCAGCATTCCTGGAAATAAGACCCCCCGCCCCACCCCGGAAAAAAAAGAAGGGAAAACTGTCAGCTGCTCAGTCTTCTCTTTAAGCTTATTTTCTATATAGTGACAGCCACCTACGAAACGACCAACACCCTATAGCTCCAAATTAGGGCTGTTAATCATTGCTCGATTTAATTCAGAATGAAGATGACATGAACCACTGAAAAACGAATCGTAAAGAATGTTGGCTAATTTCGAGCTAATTTTCCCTTATATTAAAGGAAAGGATTTGGCTTATGTTTCTACGGTCATAATGGAAATTTCAATAACGGTACAGGCTTGGAATGAAGGCTAAAGAAACTGAAGAAAAGCCGGCGATAGTTTCTAGGAAAGTTTTGCCTTTCTACAACTAGTTAAATGCACCCATGTACTTTCATTACAAATGACACTGGAAGAATGCCTTTTCCGAGAAATTATTGTATGCAAGTTTAATTCTTGAAGGAAGGAGTAATACTTTGGTAAACGCGAAAGCAAAGACAAATGATATAGGTGGACCTGAGGAATGTGACAAACGACAACTACTGCTCCAAAAAAGTTTTAACTTTCTTAAAATAACTCAGAAAATAACTGCGGGTAATTAATGACGTGGGGCAAAAATAAAACTCAGCAATCGGTTCATTTGGCAGGAATTACTTCCTTTTCCCAGCATATGATGTGCTCTCGTTAGACAAAGGAAAAAGAGAAAGTTCGTCACATAATGGGAAAACTGCTCTAAAAAGGGGTATAAATGTAATTTATTTGTGATGAAGAGCGTGGGAATTTTTCCGGGTAACTTGGCGAGAGTCTACTTCCTTTCCATGCGATTGTAAAAAGAGGCCAACTTTAATCAAGAAACCTAAAAATGACCTTTTACCAACTTTTTCACCTGATTTTACATGAAATAGACAGATTTGGTTGTTTTATGCTGAAAAGTGGATTTTTTCAAAAAGCTTGGTACTTTGCTTAACCCATTCGCTCCTGGAGATTTTGCCGAAAAACGCGTTTTGAAGCTAGTCGAGAGGTTTTCTGGTCACTGTCGTGCTAAAAAACCGGTTTACAGGTCGTACACTTCGCGGCCTTCTGATCCAGATGCAAAATATCAGCTTGCGAAGTTCGGGCATGGGTTTAAAAGTGACACAGCAGTCTTGACTTTTACTTTTCGCTTTCTCTCGGCTCCCTTCTTTTTTCACTTTTCTTGCCTAATTTTTTTTTCTCTTGCTGGGCATTTAGTAGGCTTCATTTTGGTGGGAAGAGTTTTTAGGAAAGCTTTTAGGATCTTAGGATTAGGTGACAGGAAAGATAGGTGGGCGATGGAACAAGATTTTCATGGAGATTTTCAGGTCAATGTCACGTGGTGTTTTGCTTCTTTCTCCGGTGTCCTTGACTGAATTGTGCTCATTCTGGTATGGTTTGAAAGATATCTTCACTCTGCACAAGTTAGCGAAGAAAGTTGTCCTTGACCGTTAAAACTGATGACGTCACAAAGGGTAGAAAGGACCTGGATCCGCACGAGCGGTTACGGGCGGTTCAGGGGCGAATGGGTTAATAACTAGAACGATTCAGTCGTTGTCATTTTAAAGTGAGGGTGGCATTTTCTTAGTGTAAAGAATCCCAGGTGTAAATCCGCCTGGGGTAGTGATATCAGTTATTTGATGTTTTGTACCATCAGTAGGTAACAATGACAAGGCATGGCTTTTGTATCCTGGCCTTCTGCATAATAATTTTCTAATCGGTGTGAGACGCCACAATGTTGGGACTTTATAAGTTCCGCTGAAAAAATAAAGGCTATAAATTCTAAAAGAATCTACCTGTACAACTCTCGTTGCCTTGAAAATACATGAACATCTAAAAGATTTGAGGGTTAAAAAAGGAATACGTCGCACTCAGTAATAAGCGATTTAACTTCCTTTTTCGTAGGGGGCAATTAAGACACAGTGCACCGAAGATGCATAAGTACCAAAGGCTTTGTCTTTGCGCAACTAAGTTCCGTTGTTTTATTAAAAAAAGTGCAGGACAAGAGGAAGATTGCAGTGCTTATTATTAACTGAAGTGCTCTAAAAAGAGGTCAAGAGGTTAGTGATATCAGCTGAAGCTCGTTATACTTTGAGAGGTGTTAGTTAGATATTGCTCATGCAGGACGTTGGCTAAAACAGTTCTGTTGTTTACTGTTTACATAGCATATTAGGCGCAACAAAAAATCGGGTAAAGTTAGACATTGCTTCATCTTAATGCTGCCGAAAAAGATCATTTCTTTCAAACCATGCAATCGAAGAATAGATTTTGAAAGACAATAAAGGCAGTATATAGATATCTTGTACATGTTTACCTCACATTAGCCGTCTTTCCCTGACTCGTCCCCAGTCGCACAAAATTTTCGAAAGCACCAGATGAATTGCCTTCATGAAATCCATGACCAGCAGAAAAGAATTGCGAGATACAAAAGAAATATTTCACTCTGCAATCAGTGATTCATCTTCCTTTATTACAGGAGACAATTAGACGCCGGCGATTTATATTTGTGACAAAAGCGCTCTTAAAAAGGTCAATATGTCATGAAAATGGATTTACTCACGACAGGCTTTGTCCTTGCGCACACAGGAAAACGATAATAATAATTGGATTACTTACTAAGTTTCACGGAATTGAAAGAAGGAGAAGAAAAAGCCGGCGACATTTATTAAGTGCTGTGATAAGAAAAATATCAGAAAAAAATATCAGCTGAAGCTCGAAATATTTGGTGAATTGACGTGTTGCTCATGTAAGGTCGCGGGCTAAAAAGAGTTGCTTTTTAGGCCAGAGTGAATTACAGGAAATTGCACATTTCTTTGTAATGAGGTTCCTAATCAGGGTTAAAGTTAGACAGCGTTTCATCCTAATCCAGCTAGATCAGATTATTTCTTAGATCACTCTCAGAATACATTGAGACAATAAAGACAGCATAGTACATTTCTATACCTCACATATCACTGTAAAAGCTGACCAGTTACAAAGTTAGTTTCAAATTAAAAAAATTGTGTAGGTGCACAAATGAGGTGCACAAAAGAAACACACAAAAGACTGACTCCTCACTTGCGTTGACAAGGTAAATCTGTTTAGATGATACAAAAGGTGACATTTGGAGCGGAAGCTCTTTTTAATAGTGTATCGTTCAAAGCTTGGCTTAAATTTATTAAAACCAATATATTAATTTCCCCAATGACATTGCTCAAAAGTTGTGGACATTTTGTTTACACTATTAAATCAGCCCTAGGTTCCTGAGAGAAAATATTCATGCACCATATTTGAACGCGTCAACGCGTAAGAGGAAAGAAAACCAGTCTCATATTAGAAAATATACCAATAACTGCGACAAAACCAGGGATTGGGAGGCTTAATTAAGTACTTATAGACTTCCACCTGATCGTTATTTACTGCATACAAAGTTAAAAACAACCCTGGACAGTACATGGTCCACACTGTTCGTAGCTTGTTGGTCCCTCTGGGCGTATAAGTCCAAATCTCGAAGAATGATGCAGCAACTACAGGAAGAATATGAACAGCAAATCACCCAATGTCTTGAAATTCCACATAGCCGTTCTCTTGTGACAGACAGACTATGCAAATTATCCACGAAAGGGAATTAATCACAGGAAAGAAAATGTCGTTGATAAATCTGCAAATCCCGTCCATGAACGCCACGTAACTTAGCAGAAATAAGCAATAGAATACTAATTGAAATAACACGAACCAAGAACAAAGATAATTTACGTTGGCGAATTGCGACTGATACATAAACTTCCAAAGTACACAAAGTAACGTAGCAATGTAAAGACTGTTCCAGATTATGAAAACGCATTCGCCAATACTTTCTAGGCTGGCTTTTACATGTGACTGCTTTCTGTTTCCTTTAAGTTCATGTGTTGATGGTTGTTTGAAAAATCTTGATATTTTAGAACATAATATAGCACAGGCGATGTATAATGTGTTTAAGCAAACCAGCTCTGATGTTTCTAGCATGCTGAACTCTCCAGGAGTATTTGCATTGCTTATAATATATATGTATATCTTAACGACCAGGATGTTATGCAATATCTTCGACTGGAGACTGTGATGCATGGTTACATGTCTGCATCTATGACTTTCAGAGTCACTAGAACGGCAAGACGTGTAAGAATTAGGCCATTGTACGTTATACTTTTGTTTCTCTATAGAAAGGTTCCACCTTAATGCTCCATTTTTCTCCCTAAAATGTTCGAAAACGCTTATCATAGAGAGGCCTATTTAATAACCTTTATAATCAAGTCAATTACATCGTTCAAATACTTACATTGTAGTTATCTACGTTTGTTTGTTGTTTTTTTAATTTAATCGCACAATTAGCTTATTTTTTCAGATTGATATAAATTTCACAGATTTTGGAACTTTATTGCAACTTACGAGGATGTGCGTCACATCGAAACATGACTTATAAATTTAAAACAAGCGCGATCGCTTAAAAAATCGCGATTTTTTTTGCCGCTTTGTGGCCCGTTTAATCTCTTTTTTATAGTTATTGTGGGATAGGGCTGGGCTTTTTGGTTTTTGGTGGAATATTCTCTCCCAGATATTCTCGGCTGACACCCTCGGGAAAACAGCAACAAACAAGCGAATCGGACAAGAGAGGTTTAGTAGTGTGCTCATCATAAAGTTCCAGCAGAAAACCCAAAACACTCATGGCGTACACCCCCGGGAGACGGCAAGAAACGCTCGAACTGGAAATGGGAGAAAGTGTTTGTGTGCTCATCATCAGAAAGCATTAGTCTTAAATCCCACCGGAACATCACCACCCAAACATTCATAGCGTATACACCCGGGCAAACGTCAATAATTTATGAGAAAATTGTTTGGATTTCATTGAAGAAAATGTATGGAGAGTATCTTTTCCCGCTGGAAAAATATTTTTGCCATTTTCATTATTTAGCTCTGAAGAATATGTATCTTTTAGTTTGTCGACTCGACTTATGGAAGTATGAGCTCCAATGTTGACTTCAATTGTTCTATCTTTGTAGTTTTTTTTTTCTCAAAAGTGACACCCACTAATTCGGTCTTTTCCTTTTTCCACACTGGCTCACGAAAGGGCATCATAGGTAATCTGTGGGTATTATTAAAGCCAACTTGTAGCCTTAACCAGTGTGGCCGGGGTTCGAGTCAATTCTTAGGACGCCATAGGTGGGTTTCTTTTTTTTTGTTGGTTTTCGTCTCTGCTGCGAGAGGTTTTTACTGGGTACCTCGGTTCTCCCCTCTCCTCAAAACCAACATTCCAAATTCCAATTCGTTGTGGAAAGTGTCGCCAGCTGGGCGGGGCTCTTAGGGGGCGACTGTATATCAGTACTTGGAACTTTCAAGTGTCACCTTCGTTAGCTTTTTTTCTCAGTCTGTGGTTTTAAGTTGTAAGACTGACAAGATAGATCGGAATGTTAAGCCTTCATGAGTCAAGAACTGTTCAATGTATAACTTGAGACGTTTATTCCTAGTTTCGCGAATGGCCTGTTGTCACTTAAGTGGCTTGGCCAATCCGGCCTTAGATCTACACATTCAGTTCCTTAGTTCTCCTAACCAGCTTAGCCTCAAAAGGAAATGGGAGACGCCTGTTTCTGTCGGGGCGTTCCGTAACTGAAGGTTTTTCCTACCACGCGCCGTGGAAACCGGCAGCTACGAAAGGCTGAACAGAACGTCCAAATTGCGCTGAGATGACCTCCCCTTGCGATGAGGATGAATTTCTCTGTGTTCAAACTTAGAAGAACAACAATAACATTGACTTATAAAAACTTTATTTTAAGCACTCTTAACTACAAGATCCTTACACGACTGAAGAGTTAAACGGCAGTCAATTTAAAATCTACATGCATTTAGTTTTGATAAACTATTCGGACTGCTAATATTACTATTAAAGTGGCCCTTTTAAAAGATAATGCCAAGATTAGCATGTATATAACTTAAATCATCACTGTTTGGAAGAAACACCTTACAGCTGTTTTACCCTCCGAACTCTATCTCCAGCACTGTCCTCCATATGGGCAAGACTAATTTGCGGAACTGCAGACGGAGGAACCGCCGAACCTGCGGAACCGGCGGAACCTAAAGAAATGTTTTTATTTACTGCCTTTGGCTAAAGTGATAAAATAATATGAGAGGATAGTCTTACCGGCTCCATATATTTCCTACAATACTGATGAGGATAATTTGTTAAACAAACGAAGATTTTTGACTTGGCGGTTATTCCCTTCATTCTGATGATAAGTAATTTTAGCAAGATAAAGACTCTTAATTTAATAAGACAGAAACTCTGAAGGGCGGGGTCAAAGTTTTTCTAAGTTGAATGCAAGTAAACAAAGCAGCACAGTATTAGACGGTTCCGGAGTATAAAAAAGTACCAAGTCAAATACATGCTGATATTGACACCACCGGCAGCTATCTGTACATGTGCTACGTATCACGCTTTACAATTTCTTTGACTGTTTTCTTTACCAATCATTTTAATCTATGAATTATTGCCGTTTTACTCGACTTGATAGTTAGTAAAAAACTGATCCGGAACCAAAGAAAGCACACGCCTTAAAAAAAATACATTTCCAATAGACTATAATTCGTGGACACGAACACCATTTACATCCGCAAACAAACCGAAACCAAGGAAAACAGAACCTTGCGGGATACCAACAAGACAAAAGGTAGTAAAATGTCCAGAAGACTTGCCGGGCGTGAGATCTACAACTCCTAGATGAACACGCGTAGATTTGATGGTAGGCCCTCCATACAAATGGACTATCACACTTGCAGCGATTCCCGATTGGCTGGCACCACCAAGGACCCCTATCGTGATTGACGAGACACCTAATAATAGAAAAAAAAAGTCATAAATAGAGGTATTATAAATAACGTATACATGTCACGACTGTCGAAAATCACCTGCATTTAATTCAAAAATAAGATTTTCACAGCGTGTGAAATAGGACGTTGGAACCAGGTGATATAAGGATTTTAAAAGTTGTTCACAACCATCTCACGATCTATTTGAAACAAGCTTTTAGTTCACTTGGGATAACGTAACATAACCTTAGTTTGCTTCAGGCATGGGAAAAATCTAGCCGACCAAGTCTTGGCAATTTTATTTAACGATTATATAAGTCGCCATTCAGCAAATGCAAATGCAAATGTCCATACACATCGACATAATTTCATTATCTGTCTGCTCAAGAGTCTCTACTGTTTACGAAAAGTGTAAATTACTTTATACATAGATTTTTTGAAGAAATTAAATGGGTTTACTCTGAGTGTGACGAATTGAAATTGTTCTTAAATGTTTCCCAACTTCCTCTGAAAGGCGTTCTTTCCGTCCTGGAACTCACTACCCAAGCGAGACACGAGTCTATACGAGGTGTGTTCGCTCGTCAATTTTTGAATCACGAACCTTGCGACAATGTTGCAAATCATCTTTGAAAGGAGGCAGAAACTGCGTTAAATAACACTCGCCAGAATTTGCAATGAAATACATCTTACCTTGAAGTCCTTTCTTTTAGGGCGGAAACTCGGGGTCATATGAAATCACTTAAATGGCAATGGATCGAGAAAACAATCTCAAGCAAGAAAAAACAAGTAAAGTAAATAAGGTAGAGAGTATTTCTTGAAAATTCTAGCGAGTATCTATATTCTTGAACTTTTGCCTGAATTCCCTTAGAAATCTTTTATGTTCAAGGCCATTTTAAGGATTACGCAATAGGAAACCACATGTATTAATGATTAAACTCTCATACTGAGCTTGGACCGCCTGTGTTATAAGGATAATTATATGTAAATCACTTTAATTTATTACATTCCTCTAATAAATATCAAAACCTGTAGCTTGCGAATACTACCGTTTCTCCTCACTCCCTACCACTAGGGACGTTTCGCGGAGGATACATACGTCTGCGATTCGGCCTCAAAAATTCCACACTGATAGCGTAAATCAATGTTTACATAATAAATCTAGTCGTCACTTGCATTTGTTTGAATTCATGTTACTCCTGGTCTATAATCGTTAAGTTAATTTTTAGTTATTTTGCGAACATGCGGCAACAAAAGTCAAATGAATCAGACTTTTTTTTATGGAATTAAGTGACGTTCATCTTTCGCCCCCTTTTACAACAGGCCAGACAGTCCAAATCTCGACTTATAATGTGACATTAATAGTTACCAGATATTGTACCTGTCATGCTCCATACATGCTTCATCCAAGCCATCCTGGGGCGGGAGACAGTCGCGACAAGCGCGGTTTACATAGCTTTTCGTTTGGGAACAAAACCATCGACAGTGAGGTTTTGGGTTGTTTTCATAACCACCCTGGTAAGCCCCGCACCAGTTTCCGTACCACCAGTCCAAACCACCGTTTCGCCACCCAATCCCGCGTCGACGACGTTTAACGACTGACGAAGGCTGCTGAAGCAGACTGGCATTGCTCAAGGAAATACTATCATTTGTTTGATGCGTAAAGTTGGTAGACAGTTCTCGGATATTCTTTTCTATTATCGATGACTCAGGGGATGATTGGCTTTCTGTGACTAAAGATAATGAAGGTTAGTAGAATTCTACTAACATGCCATCGCACGCAAACCCGCATTCTGATCGCTGATTAACTTGCTATATCTTTCAGCTCATAGACAGCGTGTAAATCGGGCCAATGGAAAGGGTAAAAATAATCCTAGTGGCTATACTTGGATAACTGGGTGCTTACCATTTACACAAATTATCCGGGTGCATGTCTCTTTTGTAAACATTCAGCAATTGAATTTGACTTTGTGGGAGAAGGACCTTCTTCAAAATGTATCTAACTAAGCTGGAGAGACTCAAAAGAGTAGAGAAATTGGATGGGCTCAAACGACAACCCACATTTTCTGTTCTTTTCGAACGGCGGAATGGAACAAATTTTGATTCTCCAATCACAATCTCCGGTTTCCTCGTGTAAACGGTAAATAAACTAGGAATTATTTTTGAATAAATAATAAAACAATTATTGAATTCGGCTTTCGCACTATATGAAGGATTATGGAGATCTCGGAGGGTGTTATCACCCTCCTCGATCTCCGTAATTCTTCATAAGATACTCAGCCTCATTCATTAATTGTTAAATAAATCACAAAATCTGGAGATTTTCTCGCCTTTTTCACACCCATAAGATCTTTCTGTTTGCTCTTTTACGTCGTTTTACAGACCAAATGGCAGATTTCCCTATCGTGAAATCCGCATCCTTTCCAAGCCTGAAAAAGGTACCTCTTTCGGAAGGGTTCTTCCCGTATAAGCCATTATAGGGAGTACCCCCCCCGCCGGGGAATATGCAGTGACAGACGTAATTTTGTGTCCTTTTAAGGCATCAGTCAATTGTACTGTTAACAGATGTAAGGAGGAAATAAAACGACAATATTCTGAAGCAAAGAATTAAAAAAAAGTATTAATACTTACACAGCTTTGAATCATTGGATTGGTAAAAAGCCTCTTCGATTGTATCATTTTCTTCAATGTATTTGTAGCAGTTTAGCTGCTTGTAGTCAGTGAAGTTCATCTCATGTTCCTTAGAGCGCATATGGATTGTCCCATTTGGAAGATGCAAATAAACCTAGCAAGCGAACGAGAGAGTATGATCTAGAGTTAACAGAAAAGCTAAATTAAAAAGAAATCTTAATTCTAGATAAGAATTTGATGATCAATATACTAGTTCATACTTCCTATTAATAAATTATTTTGTTTCTTCCTTTTGTGTACATTTATTTATTCATTTCACTGCCCCATGTCAACTTTTGCAAAATTTTCATAAAAGCCGCCTTTGAATTGAAAACAAAACTCTTAGGATCAAATGATCGATTTCACTCAGGATCAGGCGTTCAAGAGTTGAAAAGAAAGATGACAGATATTGAGAAAGTAATAAGCAGTTCAAAGAGTCGCTCGTCTGCCATGTTCACAAAATTACCAAAAAAAGAAAAGAAAAACAAGCAAAACAAAAAAAGCAACAATAAAAGAAAAATACTCAGCCTAGAGTTTTAATTTTGATCTCTCGTGTTAACAGTTACTGACCTCGTATATCTTTCCGTGAAGTCCTTTTGCCCGGTAAACGTCCACTTCAGTATCATTATCAACTTGGAAAATAACGTGGGTCAAATTCCCTTCGATATTTTCCTTTAATAAAAAGAACCGAAAGAAGGAAAATGTGAATTAAATTTCTCTGCTTATACAAACTGTAGTGAACGGAAAAGTATGCAGAAGTAAAAGAATCACGGGGAAGAAATGAGGCGTTGTCGGTGACAGCGTCTTCTTCACAGTTTGTTACTAAAACATAGATCTTGAATAATCTCAATAATATTCCTGGGCATTTTTGTACGTTGTTGTTGGATTGACTTGGGCGCTCGTTGGATTATGCATCCGTTCAGTGCATACACTCGACTTGTTCACTGCTTACCGATTTCAGAGTTGCATGTTTCAGTAAATGTCTTGGAATCATATCTCCTTCAAGAGCTGTGTAAATGCACTTTGTGGTGGAATTTCCATGCTCTGGAACGATGAAGTACTTTTTTTGCTGGCATGTAAAGCAAAACGAAAACTCGATGAACATTTCATTATAACCGGTAGATATGTTTGTTTATTCCCCACAATTATTGACGACAAATCAATACAATTTATGCTTTTATTAAAAGATCAAAGTCCCTAAAATAGCTAGGGGTAGCTTGTGTTTACTTAATTTGAAACGGAACCGTGTCCTGAACGTAGTTAAATAATGATTTAGCTTTTCTAAAGAGAATTTTTTATCAATAATTTAGTCTGTTATAAGGTGAACTGGGCGCCGTGAAGAGTATCAAGAGTTAACCCCTCGTCAGACAGAAATGCCATACACCGACGATTCGCTGTAGCCAGAATGGCTCTGGAATAGATCTTGAATCAGTATAGTCGGTGGCTAACCTACATGTACGATATTCGCTCCAGCAGTTAATAGGAAACAATCCTAGCTGACAGTCTCGCACTTGATTTCTGTTTACAAGGGACCCTTTTATCTGGAATATAGCATGTTGCCTGGCCTGCTGTACCAATACGTCTCCAGCAATTTTCGCAAGAACTCTGACAATAAGGTAGTAAGGTCAAGAAAAAGAAAGCTCTCTAACTCTCTAACGTAAAATGAATGTTGAATTAAATATTGTTTAAGTCTGCTGTTTAGGTCCACTGAAGTGGGTAGAATATCAGTTGCTGTTTTAAAAATTTCAAGCACCAATTCAGTTTTATCATGAAATGTGTCTTTAACTACAAATTTGCTTTGTTTTTTAAACATGAGTACCTTACCGTGTTGTAATCCTGTATGACGATTTTGGTTGCATTGATATTGGTCCCATTTGCTGTATCATTTTCCTCAAAAGACATAAGCCGTCGTCCCGATAGTGGAAACGAGGAGGGCAGATAACCCACTGAAGTAAGCTGAATTAGTTTCCTCTTATAATCAATGATCACATGGAAAAATTCTCCTTCCCCGTGGTCAGATGAAAAGGTAGCCTCTCCTTCCATTACTTCTGGTAACTCGGGTCCAGAATCAAATACTCCTGCTGCATAAACGGACGAAATGACAACGGCTGCCAGGGCTATACCAACCAAAACTGCTGCAACTCTTACCGAAGGTTTAGAGAAACACTTCTTTCCTTTGATTTCAACTGTAATAACATGACAAATACAAAGATTAGTATTATACCTCCTCGGGTTGCAAAAGGATAATTCGGCTTATGATTCAGTTTATGGCCCGGGACCCTTTTATAGAAAGGATTATCGGGGAGGCACTTATTCAAAGGTACTATTTCAAACGTGGCGCCTAGCTTCTATTGTTCGGCGCTTGATTAGATGCAAAAGGAAACGACCAGTAAGAGACATTATGACGTACAGCTTAACTGAATCGGTGTTGTATTTGGCTTTGTTTTGTTTGATTTTATTTTTCAACGAAAACGCACTGGGAAAAGGCTGTTTATTAGAAAGAGAAAGAAGTTAATCGTAAGGAATTAAAAGGAGAAAGTTTTCAACATACCTCAATAAAAAAAAAGCAAAACAAAGAACAAAAAGTAACCTGTCAATTACTTAAAGTTGAAGGCACTCATTAATCGTAAAAAAAAAGAAGATACAAGACTTTTTATTCTGAAAATTACCTCTTTGATCTTCACTTTCTCTCTCTGTTTTCTCTTGCACTTTGTTTTCCATTTTAACATTGGCTTCTTAAGTTTAAAATTAAGGGTTAGTAACAATAAAGGAACAGCAAGAACACATGCAATCTTGTTCAACCACCATCATTTAAACTCTTACATAATAGTTAGTGTGTTTGGACTTTCCAATATCCTATGATTAATGCACTCCTTTAATTTGCTAGATTTCTCGCGTTACGTAATATGCTAACCGGTCGCACTACGTGGTGAAAAAGCTTTCACTCTTTGTAATCACTATAAAAATGTCCCGCCGAGTATAATCTCAGGAAATTGAAAACATGTAGAATTCTCCTGAATTGTCCTGATTAGTTCTAATATGTCTAATATTTTCGATTATTCTCCACTTAAGAATGAACTCAAGCCTTCCGTAAAAGACTATTTGGCCGCGGGTGTTGGTGCGGAATTATTCAATTAGTCAGACAGGTTTATACACAAAGTTGAAATCAAAAGAAGCATCATACCTGTTGCTAAATGACTGCCTTTCTTAGGAGTTATCCCTTGGGAAAACTAAGTCTGTGGTATAAAAGGATTCAAATATTGGAAGTGCAAGGCAACTACACGACTCTGCGCCGAACACCACTTCTTTGTAATCGAAAATAATGTTCGTGTCTGCTTTTATATGCGTTGTTTATCAAAAAAGGGACAATCGTTCAACTAATCAGTGACAATTGACGTTCTGTTGGAAAAACTACAGACAATGCGGTGGATCTATTGTTGTTAATGTAAAGAAGTATTCAAAATTTCAGGAAGTTAATTAATGTTGAGGTACTTTCAGGTATTTGCTTTTGATTTTCCACAGCATTCTACGTTCCAAGGTCAGTCCTAGGATCAACAGGCCTGTCAAAGCACCGGCAGTGATTTTTACTGGTGGCACATCTATTGAGTCAAGTAGGTCTTGATGGAAAGGTAATCTCTTCGTTAGGCAAATGGATGCCCATATTGAGAAGAGTTTTGGCCGCTTTTTTTTTTTGCAAAATCGGTGTCAAGTTTAGTCTGCGACAGCCGCGTTTCCTGTCAAACAACAACAAAAAAAAATGGAATATGACATATCTGTACAAGTCATAAAAAGGCTTTAATTTATGCGAACCTTTAGGGACGATACGCCAATAAAAACCAACAACAAGAGAAAACAAACGGTAGTTATCTATTGCTGTGGACAATAAGAAACTTAATTAAATTAGCCGCTCTATTGTTGACTCTTGGTCGTAAAGTATTTCTTTATCTTTTTTAAAAAAAGGGAAACAAAGGGTGAGTTATATCTTTTGTCAAAAAGTGTCTTAAAAAATAGTAAAAGTTACATACAGTCAGGAATTTACCCTTTGCTTTTATATGAAGGTAAGAGCATGCGCATCTAAAATGATAACATGCGTAATCTCCCCTAGACTACTCGATCCTGACAGCTTATTCTAACTTTGCCGTGTATATCATGAATATGTAATGTAAACTTAATAAATTGTCTACCCTTTAAATTTAAACACCAAGGGGTTTTCAGTTACATTTTTGTGTATTTTGTGCTCAGCTGTAAGTTTAAATGGGGTAGTAAATCAAACAAAGTTTAAAAAGACGACGCATTTCGTGGACTTTGAGAGCAAAGAGTCCACAAGCCCTCTATATTATGATCTATTTTAAGTAAAATATTTATCTAATTTGATAGTTTTAACGTCTGTACAGATGGCAGGAGCAGTTTCAAAACATTTGAAGTACATGTATCATACTAGTCATGAAGGTAAGTATGATCTGCATTTATTTGGAAAATTAGCATTACGTCAAAACAGTGAATGTTGTAACGCGGATTTTTGGCCGGTTCGTAGGCTAGGCTTGTCTTGAAATTTCAAGGTGTTGCAGTGAATATATCTCAATGAAAGTTTCAGACATAATTGTATACATCATGATGATTATCTGATGAGGCTTAATGTGTAGCCGTTCTAGAGATATACAGAAAAGCGTTGAGAGTCAAAATTTAGAATAAAGTTGCACTTAAACAGGTACTGAGAAAACAGGTTTGTTTTTAGGATCGCAAGAAAGAAAATACACCAAAATTTCAAATCTAGTCTGGGAGCATCTGTAACCCCGTGGGAATTTTGCGAAAAAGCAAGCCATCTATCTGGATCTGTTAAGGGGACTCTAAGAAAGACAGACATATTAAATTCTGCAAGCAGAATACTGCAATGCTGATTGTACTACGTGAAAATTAACTCTGAAAGACATCAACACGACACCGAAAGAACTCAAAACAGAGCGGGATTGTAGCCATAGACAGCTGTGTCGCCCTCTTTGGGGTTCGTCAGCAGGGCGAAACAACCAGAGAAAACTCTGGTGAAAAATATCCGCGCACTCTGATTTAAGCCCTCACCTAGAACTCTCTACACCCACAGAATCACGCCATACCACGTGTCTTCTGGGGCGCAAGAGTCCAAGTGTCAAGTTGATGTCTCGCAGAGGAAATAAAAAATTGGCCAAAACCAACCTATAGAACATGGACAAAGCCATGCAAGGATTACGGCATATCGGTGTCGTGTTGATGTCTTGCAGAGTTAATTTTCCCGTAGTACGATCAGCATTGCAGTATTCTGCTTGCAGAATTTAATATGTCTACTTTTCATTTTTGCTGATCAGGTCTTTATAGATCCTACGTTCTTCGGCATATTCGTTTTGCGGTCCTTTGCAGTCCTTTGTGGTTAATGTTTGGACTCTAAGAAACAAAAAATATTTTTGGCAATTTTGCAGTTTGCACCGATGGCGGCAAGGGTGGATTTAAAATGTGACGTCTGTGTTCTAGCATGGAAACGAGGCTGGACCCTAAGTACCTGAAAACCATCTTCAATGACAGATTGCTAACAGAATTACTCCTATAACACATATAATAGTCCGTAGTCAATCCAACAATGACCTACACAAAATAAAGAAAATGCGATTTCCTCACTACCAGGGCCAGACATTAACGACAAGATGTTCTAGTTATCACCCTCCTGGTCGAAGTCATCGTCATCAACATCATCATCATCATCATCGTTAGAGTTTTCTTCATCCTTGACAGTAATGTTCTCACAAAGCTCATCCCAACCATCAATGCAGCCAACCATGGTTGTAGTGATGGTTGTAGTTTGTTCTGTTCTTTCAAGCTACCCAATTTAAGGCAATGTATAAATAAATCATCAATTGTGTCACCGATTGCTGAGCAATGGGCTCCTACAACTACTGGTCTTTATGTATAGGTTTTAAACCAAACGAAACTTCTCTCGATATACAAAAAGATACTGTTCTGGAGCTCTAACTTTGGATCGGACCAGACCTTTTATATGAACTTAATTTTATGTTCTTAACCATCTTTATTATCTTTCTTACCGGTTATTTTACAGTTAGAGGTCTTCTTTTACGTTCTCCATATGGATATACTACTCAAGCTAGAGAATCTGATGATCAAAAGAATCTGCATGCGTTTTTCAAGATCAAGGAATGCACCAACACATGAATGTTTTCTTTTTCTGTTCACAGGGAGTCATTTTTACCAATTTAACTGCATTTTTGACGATCAGGTATTCGGGTATAAAGCTTAGAATAGCATGTGCTACTGTTAATGATCATAATGACAGCGTATTTTCCTGAATTAGAGGACACCTTCAATATGAATATATACTAGATTTATCCGGGGCTAAAAGCAAAGTCTCCGTTTACATACTATTGAATTGCTTTTAAAGCCATTCGCTTCTAAGCCATTGAAAATAAACCTTTGAATCCCTTCTTTAATAGGCCATTTGCACCAAGAGGTCATGTGACATCGTTTTTTTGAAAATGAAAGTTATATGATTTTGCCTTCGAAAAACGATTAGGGGGTCATATCTTAAACAATTTGGTTTTTCAAACCCACTACATTTTCGTAAGTTCGTAGCTGGTCACGTGACCAAAATGTGATTTTTAAAATTATGAATTACCTCTTTCTGAACCCAAATTTTGCACTTCAACTTCAAAGGAAATGTTGAAAAGATGATGTGGTAGCGTTTACAGCACATCTGAGCGTAACTATCACACCTTTAACAAGATATAAGCAAAAAGTAGTTTTGGCCGCCATGTTGGAGGGCAAGAGTATGCCCTCCAACGTGGCGGCCAATACAAATCATACTACTTTGTTGAAAAATCAAAGTGCCATAAAATATCTCCCTTAAATGAGTTTCCTCTCAAATTTTTATGAGCTCTGTCAATTTTTGACATCAGCAAGATTCCAACTCATTGTTTGAAGGAAGCATTGCTCAAGTGACCTCTTAGAGCAAGTGGCCTATTATAATAACTTTATTTACCTTTTGAGGGAGGGGTGGGTGATTTAGAAAAAAACCCCGCAAACACACCTGAAATGAAAAACATCTTCGATGAAGGATACGAACGTTCCTGATCGAAGCTCTTCTTACAACGGATGAATTTGAAACAGAGTTAAAGATATTCGATTTGCAATTAAAACGGGCCTAATAGATGGGAAGAGGTGATTCTTATATTCTCGTTTTCCTTCTCTTATTGTCTCTCTCTGTGACTTCAGATTACTGATAATTGCAAATGTTTTTCTAGGTGTGTACTAAGTGTTTCACTCCTCTTGTAAGCACATACCTTTTTAAAAAGGAGAACAACATGACGTCATCATTATAATATTTTACCATGATATCAAGCTACCGTTGTTCTTGTCAAGGTAAAGAAGACAAAGAACAAGAAGACATGTGATAGTTCATATTAAACACTTTGTTGAGAGGTTAGGTTTATTTTAGTAATTCTTGGCGAATTTAATTTTTTTTCTTGTCCTTATTTGTTTATTAATAAAGTTTTGTTTGTTTGTTGTTGTTTGTTGTTTTCTCTCGTAGAGGTAATACCGTCATCAGAAAGAAAAAGTAAGGCGGTTGGTAAACATTATGTTTTTATCAGTTTATATCTAGGTGATTGTATTTAGTAATTCCAATTAGGATCTTGCATGACGAATACAAAACACTCAACTTATTGTATTCATTGCCGCAGCTAACTGTTCCAGTTTAAGGCCTAACATCGAACTTTTTATGAGACCTGAACCAAACTCTAAAATGGGTCGACCCAAATCAAACTGAATCAGACCAAAAAGCAATCTTAATAAGTTTTCTCCCGAACAAGGCTAAATTTACATTACTATACAATTTTTTAAATTTATATAGTTTAGTTCGTTACATGTGAGGCCCTAGCTTTGTCCCCTGGGGGACCCCAGAGGGTACAGAGTCCCACTTGGAGTAACATCCCTCAGCTCGCTTAATCCGCTGAGAACGCCCGGACAGAAAATCAATTATCCAGTTGATTATTCTGGTTTTTAGAACTAATTTACATAATTTATCAACCACTATCCTGTGGTCAATTAGATCGAATGCTTTTCGACAATCGAATAGCACAGTCCTGATTGTTGTGCTATTGCCGTCTGTCGCTTGAGCCCAGCTGTGGACCATGAGTATGAGGGCCCGTGTAGTGGACGAATTAGGTACTGAGAACAGCAGGCTTTACGAAATCGTGTACGACACAATCTTCAGCGACTTTCGGTAAACAGGCAGTAAGCGAAATTGTTCTCAGATCTTTTTTCAAATACTCAACCTTCTTTTTCTTGGGTAGTGGGGATACATCCACGTACTTCCAGATGGTAGGAGGGCGCTATTCTCGTAAGGACGCATTAATTATACTACGTACAGGGTAAGCAGGAAGTTCGGAATACTGCCGCAGTAGCCAGTTGGGAACTTCATCTGGTCCACAACTCCACACGTCTGAGACGGATTTAATTTTGCTAAGAGTCTCTTAATGCGCAACTCTGAAAGCACCGGGAGGTGAGCTGAGTGTTCTTTCAGGGGGATTTGGGCCAGTGGGAGGGGCAGACAATATTCTTCCATTCGTTCTAGGAACGCCTCATCAATAGCGTTCGCCAGTCCTGTGGAGATAGCTCTTCAGCACCCTCAGCATGAATATGGTTTCACAAGGCCTCAGAATGCGCGTGTGCGCCGGACAAACGTTTAACCTCTCTCCACCATGCCTTCGGGTTTTTTTTTTCATGCTTTGTACCTTGGTTTCATAGAGGACAGCTTTACATGATTTTCGCTCACGTTTGACTGCGTTACGGTAGAATTTAAACTGAGCTGACTTAATACCGTGTTCGTGAAAGGTCTTCTGCCTTTTAAGTATAAGCGATTTCAGGTGCTAGGTCATCCACGGGACGTCAGATGTGTTCACACGCACCTTCTTAACGGGCATGAGAAGATCGAGCCTTGTGCG